AGCAGCAGCACCGCCAGCGACGCCAGCGGAGACGGTTACCCCGGCAACGGGCCGGGCAGCCACAGCGCCCTGCACAGCCTGGTGGCCAGCCTGAAGCAGGAGATGCACAAGCAGAAGATCGAGTACGAGGCCAGGATCAAAAGGTGGGGGGGGGGGGTTGGGAAACGGAGGGTTTTCCAGATCCGTCCGGAAGGTTTTCCATGTTTCCCTTCAGCTCTTTGAGCTCTGATCAGGACCCAGATTTAGCAAACACTGCTCTGGATAAATCAATTTGCTTTAGCTCAGCAATTAGCTTAGCAATTAGCTTATTAGCTTATAGTTCAGATATTTTTTTTTTGTTTCTGAACCTTTGAATTAGCCTATTTCACACGATTTTGTTGACATTGTGTTGAGTTTCTGGGTAGTTTGGGACTCGTTTGTTCCTTACTAATCTCCAGAAACCAGTAAAGCTAACAGAAATAATTTAGTTTTCATTAATTCATGGATTACAGGGATGGTACTGCTGCAAGTTGCGTTTATTTCACAGTATCATCATCTCTGAAAACATCTCAAAAGCATTTCAATTGCTCTTTACTTGCTTTTAGGATTTTTCTTTTCTTTTTCCAAAGCATATTTACTTTTTATTTGGTGCAGTTTGGGACCACATTGGTACGCGTTATATGAGAGGTTAATTGTGTCTAAAATAATAACTAAAATGAGCTTTAACACATGGAGAATTAGTCTGAACTGAGAAGCCCATCCTTGTTTTTTTGTCTGAACCCCTTTTTTCTTAGCCTGGAGCAGCGGAACCTGGAGCTGGAGACGGAGATGGTGAGCCTCCACGAGGAGCTGGACCAGGAGAGGAAGAAGTACACCATGGCCGAGATCAAGCTGCGCAACGCCGAGCGGGCCAAGGACGACGCCGAGCGCCGCAACCAGATGCTGCAGAAGGAGATGGAGCAGTTCTTCTCCACCTTCAGCGACCTCACCGCCGCCGGGGGCGCCCCCCCGGCCGCCGACCCCCGCCGGCCGGACCGCAACAACCCCATCTGGATCCAGTGAAGGAGGGCCAAAGGCTGGAAACTGGTTATGGTTCATTAAACGATGTGAAATAGGACTTGGAAAGTTGATGGTTGATGGTTAAATGAACAAATAGGAGGTAAAAGGCTAATGAGAGCCACCTGTGAGCGTGTGTATGTGTGTGTGTGCGTGTGTGTGTGTATGAAGATTTCACCTGGAGTGATGTCAAAGTGAGTCTATCTGTATATATCCTTATTTAAACGGCTCATGGACGCCTAGCCTTCTAAGAAAACCAGAGTGGTGCTCTCTCCTCTGACCGATGAGTGGACGTGTGGTACTACTTTAAGGAAACTCCTCGGGCTAGGATGACGGTCGGGACAGTAAAATGTGAAAAACAAACAAACCCACCAACGTTGGACCTGAAGATGCATCCAAACTCCTCATGATTTTATTTTATTTTGAACATCTAACCAAAAAGAAACTCGGTTTGTGACTCTGCTTGTGTACATAGAGGGACACAACGCAGAGTCAAATAAGAGTCCTACTTAAGTGGTATTTAAGCAAAAATTATCAATGTGTGATATTTTATATGAAGATGTCTCCTTGCACTTGTATGTCTGTTTAGCCTCTGCAAACTGGTACTGAATGTTTCGTGGATTCGTGCGCGTACCATTTTAAATGGGAAAGTATGCTGTACATGTGCCTGTGCTTCTGTGCTGTTACATTTACTCATGACCAAAAAAAAAACAAACAGAGCCTGTGCTGTAAATATTTTTCTAGGTAGCTGTAGACACTCCTCGTTAGTCTGCACTGTGTTTTTACTGATATTCAGATGGATTTGGGCTCGAATGCAGATACCGACGGACGTTTTTAGCTTGTTTGAAAACAAAAAATGGATCTTAAAATCGATTTTAAGTCTAAGAAATCCTGGAATTAGCAAAGTAAACATCTGGCTTGGATGAGCTTTTCCTCCAAAAGGTGCAGCTTTATCATGGATGCTCCGGATGGGATTGTGGGAACGTGGAAGAGGAAGAGAAGCCACCAACTCTGAGCTGTGTTCAACTGTGAAAAAGGACATTTCTGATTTGTTAACAGCCCGGCTGTTGATGGCTGGGGAGCGAGGGGGGGGGGGGGGTGTGCATGGTGGAGCATGAGGCCACACCTGAATCAGCATCAGCGTACACCTGAATGTCTGTAAAGTGACTCTGTTTTCATGCTGTGTTTTCATGTAGCCTTAAACCAAATGTCTACACGTGGGTTTGGATTCGCTTTTGGGTACAAAAACGGGACACATCTGAGACCAGACCGGGTCTGGGCGTCCGGTGGAGGTTGGCGTGTGTGCGTGTGTGTGTGTGTGTGTGTGTGTGTGTGTGTGTGTGTGTGCACAGAGCTGCTGCTGGCTGCGTTTCCTCTGGAAATGAACCCCCCCCCCGTTTCAAACCTGCTGCTGGTCATTGCAGGGACTCTGGAATGTGCACATCCTGGGAGGGGAAAAAAAAACCCCGGACAACCAAAGAAGGGAGAGGAGCCTCCGCTCCTCAGTCCGGACCCTTCACCGGGAAATAATAATAATAACAGGCTTAAGCCAGGCTGACGGTGTCACCTCGTTCTGTGAATTCCACACAAAAGGAGCGGATTATGAACGGAGGGGAAGGTGGAAAGGACTCGGATAGGGAAATATTTTCAAGACATGATACTTGATACTCAGTGGAACCTTACAGAGACATGACATTATAAATAAAGATGCATTTTCATTTGTCTCCTGATACTTCACGTTTTTTTTTGTATAGAACTGTTCACATGGTGCTTTACAATTACTTACTTTATAGAAATATATTTAAGTATATTTATTTTAAAGGAACTTTACAATGGCTGTAAGACAAATGCTATTAGCAAGAAAACATTAGGGAAAGACATTTATAAAGGAAATGTAATGCAACAGCCTATGAAAATTAAACCAATAGCTGCAGATTATTTTACAGTGATACCTATCTCCTCTCCTAAGCTGCAGCAAACTGTGTGTTTGGCCCTGGTTCACACACTATAACAGCTCTAGGGACATTAGACTCTAAAATAAATCATTTTTATGATTAAAAAACTCAGATTGTTACCTTTATTGTTTAGTTGTTAATGCAGCAAGAGTCAAAATTAGGCAGATTTTAGTGGAAGTGGTAAAAGATGTTTTAAATCCATCTCAAAAAGATGCCTGTAGGGGTGTTCACATCCTGGGGGGCATCAGACACCCTCATATGTGTGAACCCCTCCCTTTACCCAGCCTCAGGTGTTCCAGATTCCTGGAGGTTTTTCTGGTCTCTTTACTACCTGAAAATGTTTAAAAAATACCTCTTTGACGCTATTGTTGTTGAGTTTGAGGAGTTATAGTGTAATTAATGAATGAGGACTTATAACAAATGGTAAAAATCCCTAAAACTGCTTTAAACTTTCAATTAAGAAAAACAAAAACCTTTAGGTTGTGGGCACTCACAGTTGGGGGTTGCATTTCTGTAATGGAATACTGAAAGAGAAAAAATAAACCCAGGGAATTAATATGGAAGAATCTGATGAGTTTTTCAAATAAAAATTTAGAGTACAGCATGTATCCAAAAGCTTCACTCGTTTTTCTATCATGTGCAAAACTATCTTCATTCTGGGACAGAATTCTTAAAACGTTTGAGAACGTATTCAGTCTCAAGATCCCAGAGGATCCTGGAATAACTTCCCTGGGAGTGATGCCTGATCCAATTAAAGATGTTTTCCCTTCAAACTTTTTATACCTGCGTACAAAACGGCAGACACACTATGATTAGTGGACGGAGGCCTTAGAGGTATTCCTCCCCATGGAAAAGCTGCCCTACTCCCACAGGTCTAAGGCAGGGACCCCCCCCCCCCCCCCCAAGGGATTTGGGACAAATGGACCAAGTCCAGAAGAACAATGTGTTGAATTCCCTCTTAATAGAGCAATGAAAGACACAGTTCCTCCTGTTCTCACTGAGTAAAGTGTGTGTTTTGAAATGTCAATTCTACAAAAAGAGTTTAGAAAAGGATGGAAATTGTGCAGTGGATGTAAATATTCCATGAAAAGTGAACCATAAGTGCACTTGCTTGCATTTTGAAGGGATTCAGTACAGAATCTTTACCCAGAAACCAGGTTTGTGTCGGCTGAAAAGCCTGAAAACAAATGTGACGTTTCTCTGTACAATAAGAAGAGACACACACCGTTGTCCAAGATCAAAGGTTTTGTTTATTTTCAATCACATACATATACTATTTGTACATACACAGTTCCTTTAAAATGTGTTTACAGTAACAGCTTTCAGATTTTTTTTTCCTTTTTCGTTGAGCATTTGTTCTGACTTTTACTTGAAACGCTATAGGCCGAAGCTTTGAGATCAGCGTGAAACGGATACGGTTTCTTTTTTTTTCTTCTTTTTTTTCCTTTTTTTAAATTATTTCCCACCTGACAATGTCAAAAGAATGATTCGTCGAAAACAGCACGGGGTCAAAGAAAACAAGAGCGGAAAAGAACCGAAGAGGGACAACCTGACCTGGTCCGGATGGCGTAAACAGGCCGCCACTCGCCTCTGACCGGATATCTGACCATCGCCTGACCATCGCCGAGTGCAATAGCGTGTTTATTGCATTGTTGGGTTGTTGTTATTTACAATAACTTCAGAAAAAAAGTTGTGAAAATAAATAAGCTAGGGATCACTAGTACTGAGTCCAAAGGTTTTTTTTTTAAAGTACAAGACATATCCTAAAGTGTGACGAGTCGTCATTTTTTCATAGTGGCGATGATATTATGGCTAAATGACAAGTCGGTCACTTTCAAATTACAAGTAAATGGCTGAAAACACGATTTTTTTTACTCATCCCGGACGTACAAGAGATCACTTGGAGATCTTCTTGAGGAAAATGGAGGAGCAGGATTGATTGAGCTTTTC